ACCCCCTTCTACTACGGAGTATGGCAAGTAGGTGTCTGCCAATGTGGCAGCACAGGTGTAGTCCAAGGCAATCTGCTTTCCATCCTTCCAGGGTAGCATAGTGGCTCCATCAGGACGCTTTTGACTTCCATCAAATCTCTGTACTTGGGGTTCCCGTTGAGCTGGGCAACGGGCTGTGGCGAGGCTTCTCTTTATTATGTCATTGATCTCCTCATGTCTGGCATACTTCCCTTCTGCTGTGTGGCACACGAGACCATAAAGTCCGAATTGATCAGCTGTCGCCCTGCCGCAAATACACCTATGTTCGGTGAGGATGGGGGCGGCTAGGCGAAGATCAACACCAATCCGAATGGCCTGTGGGTCGAGACGGGTGCCCAGGGAGGAATTGGGAACAGCTAACAGGAAATCTCCTGAGTGTGGTGCCTTCACTGCCAGGAGACGAGCTTTGTTCTTTCCTGAAGCATTGGAGAGCATTGTGTTGGCGATTTTTTCCATGATCGGTTTGTCCCAGTGGGACTGTTTGTGCTGTTTGGGAGGAGCTGGTCTACTGAAGGAGTCTGTAAGGGTGTCCCATTGAATCGCTACTTCAGTAAACCTGGGGTCTTGAGCTCCTACCAAGTCTCTCAAGCGTTCGGGCACTATCTTCTTGACTAATGCACTGGAAGCCAAACACGAAGACAGAAAAGCAGGTAAAGCAACATGCGTTGCTTTACGCATCCCTATACCTCCCAGTCGCACTGGGAGGGTTGCCTGATCCCATTGCTCATCCTCTAGTGACAGGTTCAGTGCCTTCTTAAAAGTTGATCTCAGGTGTGCGTCATATTCATCGAGTGTTGGGTTTGTCAAAAGAGGGTGCACACCTCAAGAAGTAAGTGAGTCTTGGCATAGTAAGACACCTTGTGAGGAGATACAGAGCATCATGGGCATAAGATCGCTTATTCTCTCCTCTATTCTCATCAGGTCATTCAATTTGTCCCTGAGGACAGTATCGATGGCCTGGTGACCCCGCGGTGCCCCCAAGAGGGTACTGTTGGACGGAGTTGTAGTTGAGACTTCCGGGAGGATTCTTCACACAGCATTGATTATTTCCTGGTTCGCTGTGATGATTTCACACTTGGAGGGATTGAGGATGAGTCCCAAGTCTTCTCCCTGTGTTTTCACCAGTTGTAGGTCCCCCTCGAGGGACTCTTCAGTACCTGCCAGAGTGCCGTCATCCAGGTACAAGATATTGAGCTCACTGCGTAGGCTGGAAGTTAGTTCTCTTACTGCCAAGCAGAAGAGAAGTGGAGCGAGTGGGTCACCCTGCTGAACACCCTCTGATGATTGAATTTCATGTTCTCCAAACAAAAGAATTGAGGGTTTGCTGTAGCCGGCTGAAATGAAGGGAAAGAGACTGGGGAACCGAACCCGAACAGCTGGCAAAACAGCATCTCTCTTCACCATATTAAAGGCATTTCTAAAATCAAGTTTGACTATGGCCTTGTCTTCTGGTAGGTCCCTGATGTAAGCCCTTGCCGCATGGGGAGGTAGTATGGAATAGGAGGTAGATTACTGAAAGCAGTGAAGAGTTTTTATGAGGATAGTGAGGCTCAGGTTAGAGTATGTAGGAGAGAGATTATTTTCCAGTAAAAGTAGGCCTTAGACAAGGATGTGTGATGTCACCGTGGTTGTTCAATATATTTATAGATGGGGTTGTAAGAGAAATGAATGTGAGGGTCTTGGCAAGAGGTTTGAGGTTAAAAGATAAAGAATCTAATACTAAGTGGGAGTTGTCACAGTTGCTCTTTGCTGATGACACTGTGCTTTTGGGAGATTTTGAAGAGAAGTTGCAGAGGTTGTTGGATGAGTTTGGTAGGGTACGTAAAAGAAGAAAATTAAAAGTGAATATAGGAAAGAGTAATGTGACGAGGATAAAAAATAATAAGGTGACGAGAGATTGGATATCAGATTTGAGGGAGATAGTATGGAGGATGTGAATGTATTCAGATATTTAGGAGTGGACGTGTCAGTAGATGGGTCTATGAAAGATGAGGTGAATCATAGAACTGATGAGAGTAAAAGGTGAGTGGTACACTGAGGAGTCTGTGGAGACAAAGAACTATGTCCACAGAAGCAAAGAGGGATATATATGAGAGTATATTTTTACCAATCCTCTTATATGGGGGTGAGGCATGGGTCGTGACTGTTGCAACAAGGAGAAGGCTGGAGACAGTGGAGATGTCATATCTGAGGGCAATGTGTGGTGTGAATATAATGCAGAGAATTCGTAGTTTGGAAACTAGGAGGAGGTGCAAGATTACCCAGAATTATTATCCAGAGGGCTGAGGAGAAGTTGAAGTGGTTCGGACATGTAGAGAGAATGGATCAAATTAGAATGACATCGAGAGTGAATAAATCTCTAGTGGGGGCGGGGGGAGAGGCAGGGTTGAGGTCAGCCCAAGAAAGGTTGGAGGGGGTAAAGGAGGTGTGCGAGGGGCTTGGACTTCCAGCAAGCATGCGTGAACGTGTTTGATGGGTTTCTAGGACTTGACGTGCTGTTGGAGTGTGAGCAGGGTAATATGAAGGGAATCAGGGAAACCGGCAGGCCGGACTTGAGTCCTGGAGATGGGAAGTACAGTGTCTGCACTCTGAAGGAGGGGTGTTAATGTTGCGGTTATATAACTGTAGTGTAAGCACCCCTCTGGCATGACAGTGATGGAGTGAAGAGTGAAAGTTTTTCTTTTTCGGGCCACCCTACCTTAGTGGGAAACGGGCGATGTGTTAATAATAAATTAACCCGTATAGTGTTTTTGCCTAATGGTAGACAGAACGGGCAGAAGTTAGGGGAGGGGGTGTCATGAAGCCTCTCTGTTTATATGTGTTTATATATTTTGCTTTACTCACTAGTAGCTGTGAGCTAATGTGAGTAAAGATGATGTGTGTAAAGTAGGTTGTATGTTGTTTATATAGTTAATGATTATATATATATATATATATATATATATATATATATATATATATATATATATATATATATATATACAAGGAATTCGCGAGAGCATGCGAAATATACAAACACTGATCTCTGGCTGAAGGAGACTCGAACCTACGAACCTTAGGACAAGGTACGCAGTGCTTTACCAATCTACCCACACTGGACCAATACTTTGGCGTGTAGCATGCGCTACACGTTTTGATCCAAGGCAGCGAGCTTTCAGGGAGAAGGCTTACAGCTTTTCATCTCATCCCCTGCATGCATCAGCGTTACTAGAGATTTGAACAATGCAAGGAATTCGCGAGAGCATGCGAAATATACAAACACTGATCTCTGGCTGAAGGAGACTCGAACCTACGAACCTTAGGACAAGGTACGCAGTGCTTTACCAATCTACCCACACTGGACCAATACCTTGGCGTGTAGCATCCGCTACACGTTTGATCCAAGGCAGCCAGCTTTCAGGGAGAAGGCTTACAGCTTTTCATCTCATCCCCTGCATGCATCAGCCTTACTAGAGATTTGAACAATGCAAGGAATTCGCGAGAGCATGCGAAATATACACAAACACTGATCTCTGGCTGAAGGAGACTCGAACCTACGAACCTTAGGACAAGGTACGCAGTGCTTTACCAATCTACCCACACTGGACCAATACCTTGGCGTGTAGCATCCGCTACACGTTTGATCCAAGGCAGCCAGCTTTCAGGGAGAAGGCTTACAGCTTTTCATCTCATCCCCTGCATGCATCAGCCTTACTAGAGATTTGAACAATGCAAGGAATTCGCGAGAGCATGCGAAATATACACAAACACTGATCTCTGGCTGAAGGAGACTCGAACCTACGAACCTTAGGACAAGGTACGCAGTGCTTTACCAAACTACCCACACTGGACCAATACCTTGGCGTGTAGCATCCGCTGCACGTTTGATCCAAGGCAGCCAGCTTTCAGGGAGAAGGCTTACAGCTTTTCATCTCATCCCCTGCATGCATCAGCCTTACTAGAGATTTGAACAATGCAAGGAATTCGCGAGAGCATGCGAAATATACACAAACACTGATCTCTGGCTGAAGGAGACTCGAACCTACGAACCTAGGACAAGGTACGCAGTGCTTTAACCAATCTACCCACACTGGACCAATACCTTGGCGTGTAGCATCCGCTACACGTTTGATCCAAGGCAGCCAGCTTTCAGGGAGAAGGCTTACAGCTTTTCATCTCATCCCTGCATGCATCAGCCTTACTAGAGATTTGAACAATGCAAGGAATTCGCGAGAGCATGCGAAATATACACAAACACTGATCTCTGGCTGAAGGAGACTCGAACCTACGAACCTTAGGACAAGGTACGCAGTGCTTTACCAATCTACCCACACTGGACCAATACCTTGGCGTGTAGCATCCGCTACACGTTTGATCCAAGGCAGCCAGCTTTCAGGGAGAAGGCTTACAGCTTTTCATCTCATCCCCTGCATGCATCAGCCTTACTAGAGATTTGAACAATGCAAGGAATTCGCGAGAGCATGCGAAATATACACAAACACTGATCTCTGGCTGATGCGAGCGGATGCTACTGGACCAATACCTTGGCGTGTAGCTCATGCTACACGCCAAGGTATTGGTCCAGTGTGTGTAGATTGGTAAAGCACTGCGTACCTTGTCCTAAGGTTCGTAGGTTCGAGTCTCCTTCAGCCAGAGATCAGTGTTTATATAATATATATATATATATATATATATATATATATATATATATATATATATATATATTAGTTTTTTGTGTCCTTCCTAATAACTGACCATTTAAATTTTTACTTCATAATTTGTATGAAGGTACAAGTTGGCCCTAGAGTGGTTTCATTTTCTATTTTAAATAATATAATTGCCCCTAGACTAGGCAGGTCGTTTAGGAGTCACGCCTTTTATTTACGTTACGCATTCAAAAGCGTAACAGCTTAATATTCTGTTATGTTGCTCCCATCAGTGTTCCCTGATATACTCTTGTGCTTCAGATTTTCTTGTTAGCGATGGAATGCTACGGTGCTCCTCAGTACGTACTACAGGGTCTTCCTTATGCCAGCATCAGAACCTACAGCCCTGTCATCGCTTATGCCCACACCAACAGTCCAGAAGTCCTCAGGATTCCAAAACAAGACATCACTTTCAATGTCCCAAACCGCTTCCAGTACGGTCCTGCCATTCAACTCGCTGCCCCAGTCCAGTATGCTGCCCCAGTCCCCACGTCCAGTCAGTTCTCGGTAGCTAACCAAGTGCAAAATGCTGTCTCAGTCCCCATTTCCAGTCAGTTCTCGGTGGCTACCCCAATACAAAATGCTATCCCAGTTCCCACTTCCAATCTGTTCTCGGTGGCTTCCCCAGTCCAGTTTGCTGCCTCGGCTCATGCAGCCTCCCCAGTGGTAGTTGCAGCTGACCCTGAGCACGTGCTCGCTCCTGAACCCCCCTTGCCCTCAGTGAGTGAGCCTTTCGTGGGAGGGCAGTTTCACGCCCAGGATGAGGCAGGACAGTATTCCTTTGGTCACTGGGGAGGTCCCAATACCCGAGTGGAAACACGGGACGTTTTGGGACGCACCTCCGGTAGCTTCGCCTACATCAATCCCTCCGGAGACGTCGAAGTAAGGAAATACGGTGCCTCGCCTGCCACTGGATTTAAAGCAGCGGCTTCCGACTTGCCAGTGGACACGCCCGAGGTGGCCCACATCAAGGACGCCCTTGCCCGACTGGCACGTACCCCGTCCTTGACCCTTGTTTAAGTCACTCCATTATGGCACACTTCATGTACTCTGGTGTATTGGATTCATAAAAAGCAAATGTATATTCTATTTCAAACATATGTGACATCACTTTCATTCCTTAACTTATATTGAAAGCAAATTTTGAAAGAATTGTAATGTGAAATAACCGAGACACTTGTGCAACATTTAGGAGCCTATTCTGGAAAAGTTTCTCCAAGTGGTTTGTTAGGCCTAGTGCAGAGAACAGTGGAAGAATGGACTGAAGAAGCCACTGGTTGGAGAAACGTTTGAGGAATAGAGATTCCCCAATGTTTCACAAGTTTCTTAATTATCATCTTGTAAGTTTTCTAAGGTATTTGTATAAATGGGACTTAAACCCGGATATAATAACCTACAGATGGGTTAACTATGCGGATCTCAGAAGACAGATAATAGAAGTGTTGTAATACAGAAGCTAATGTTAAAACAAAATAGATCACGAATTCTAAATTTTGTTTCACAAAGAACGTAATCCATGTGGAATATGCTGTAGAGTAACTCACAATAGGGTTAATCACACCAGAAAAGTCTGTTGATCATCTAGCTTGATCAATACAGCATATGATATTTCTCTAGTTAAAAGTTAAAACTCATTTTATTGATAAAAATTTTCATTTTACATACTATAGATTTATGTCCTAAATACTGCTACTTCAACTACTACAACCAATACCACTACCACTTACATGACTAATACTACTGCAACTACTACTGCAACTACTACTGCAATTACTACTGCAACTACTACTGCAACTACTACTGCAATTACTACTGCAATTACTACTGCAATTACTACTGCAACTACTACTGCAACTACTACTGCAACTACTACTGCAGCAAATATATTTCGGTCGCTGTGCGATCCGAGGAAGGTATCTTCATATTGTATAACCCCAGGGTCACCGTTACGTCAATGTTCGTGAAAAGATTAGTGCAGAGTGTGGCATAAATTTTTAATGCAGTGTTGAAGATTTAAATCTAATCAGGTGTGGTATTTACATGTTATCACATGGACAATAATAACTCGAGTTCAACAAAAAATAGCAAAAAATTGGAACATATGCAGCCCAAAACTGAATCATAACTTCCACAAAGAAACAAAAGCTTAGTTGCTCAGTCAGAACTTCAATGACCAAGCTATCAGCATTGAAAGGCGAAGGAAATTAGATGAAACACTTAGAAATTATTACGTGTAAATAGGTATGACATTTTTACCAGTTATATCTATAAAAGAAGATAAAAATAAAACCAATACAAGTCAAAATTAATCCAAGTTTTTCTCCAAGTGAGATATACTAGACTTTTAGGTTTACCTAAATATGCATTTAAGTAATTAAATAAGATTTATATGAACATTATGTAGATTTAACATAAGAACATAAGAAAGGAGGATCACTGCAGCAGGCATGTTGGCCCATACTAGGCAGGTCCTTTACAATCCATCCCACTAACAAAACATTTGCCCAACCCAATTTTCAATGCTACCCACGAAATAAGGTCTGATAACTCTATCCACTCATTTGCAAGTCCCACTCAAATCCAACCCCTCTCACTCATATATTTATCCAACCTAAATCTGAAGCTACATAAAATCCTAGCCTCAATAACCCAACTAGGTAGACTGTTCCACTCATCAACTACCCTATTTCCAAACCAATACTTTCCTATGTCTTTTCTAAATCTAAACTTTTCTAATTTAAATCCATTACTGCGGGTTCTCTCTTGGAGAGATATCCTCAAGACCTTGTTAATATCCCCTTTATTTATACCTATCTTCCACTTACACACTTCGATCATGTCTCCCCTCATTCTTTGTCTAACAAGTGAATGTAATTTAAGAGTCTTCAATCTTTCTTCGTAAGGAAGATTTCTAATGCTATGTATTAATTTAGTCATTCTACGCTGAATGTTTTCTAACGAATTTAAGTCCATTTTGTAATATGGAGACCAGAACTGAGCTGCATAATCTAGGTGAGGCCTTACTAATGATGTATAAAGCTGCAGTATGACCTCTGGACTTCTGTTGCTTACACTTCTTGATATAAATTCCAATAATCCATTTGCTCTATTTCGTACGCTTAGGCGCTGCTGTCTTGGTTTAAGGTTACTGCTCACCATAACCCTCAAGTCCTTTTCACAATCTGTATGCTAAGTTCTACATTATTTAACTTATAAGTGTTAGGGTTATGGACACTCCCGAGCGACAGAACCTTGCATTTATCTACATTGAACTGCATCTGCCACTTTGCTGACCAGGTACTGAGTTGGTCTAAATCCTCCTGAAGTTCCCTGATATCAACGGTTCAATAAATTATCCTATCTTCGTAACATCGGCGAATTTGCTCATTTTATTTTTTTTTATCACACTGGCCGATTCCCACCAAGGCAGGGTGGCCCGAAAAAGAAAAACTTTCACCATCATTCACTCCATCACTGTCTTGCCAGAAGGGTGCTTTACACTACAGTTTTTAAACTGCAACATTAACACCCCTCCTTCAGAGTGCAGGCACTGTACTTCCCATCTCCAGGACTCAAGTCCGGCCTGCCGGTTTCCCTGAACCCCTTCATAAATGTTACTTTGCTCACACTCCAACAGCACGTCAAGTATTAAAAACCATTTGTCTCCATTCACTCATATCAAACACGCTCACGCATGCCTGCTGGAAGTCCAAGCCCCTCGCACACAAAACCTCCTTTACCCCCTCCCTTCAACCTTTCGTAGGCCGACCCCTACCCCGCCTTCCTTCCACTACAGACTGATACACTCTTGAAGTTATTCTGTTTCGCTCCATTCTCTCCACATGTCCGAACCACCTCAACAACCCTTCCTCAGCCCTCTGGACAACAGTTTTGGTAATCCCGCACCTCCTCCTAACCTCCAAACTACGAATTCTCTGCATTATATTCACTCCACACACTCCTCTCAGACATGACATCTCCACTGCCTCCAGCCTTCTCCTCGCTGCAACATTCATCATCCATGCTTCACACCCATATAAAAGCGTTGGTAAAACTATACTCTCATACATTTCCCTCTTTGCCTCCAAGGACAAAGTTCTTTGTCTCCAGAGACTCCTAAGTGCACCACTCACCCTTTTCCCCTCATCAATTCTATGATTCACCTCATCTTTCATAGACCCATCCGCTGACACGTCCACTCCCAAATATCTGAATACATTCACCTCCTCCATACTCTCTCCCTCCAATCTGATATCCAATCTTTCATCACCTAATCTTTTTGTTATCCTCATAACCTTACTCTTTCCTGTTTTCACTTTCAATTTTCTTCTTTTGCACACCCTACCAAATTCATCCACCAATCTCTGCAACTTCTCTTCAGAATCTCCCAAGAGCACAGTGTCATCAGCAAAGAGCAACTGTGACAACTCCCACTTTATGTGTGATTCTTTATCTTTTAACTCCACGCCTCTTGCCAAGACCCTCGCATTTACTTCTCTTACAACCCCATCTATAAATATATTAAACAACCACGGTGACATCACACATCCTTGTCTAAGGCCTACTTTTACTGGGAAATAATTTCCCTCTTTCCTACATACTCTAACTTGAGCCTCACTATCCTCGTAAAAACTCTTCACTGCTTTCAGTAACCTACCTCCTACACCATACACCTGCAACATCTGCCACATTGCCCCCCTATCCACCCCTGTCATACGCCTTTTCCAAATCCATAAATGCCACAAAGACCTCTTTAGCCTTATCTAAATACTGTTCACTTATATGTTTCACTGTAAACACCTGGTCCACACACCCCCTACCTTTCCTAAAGCCTCCTTGTTCATCTGCTATCCTATTCTCCGTCTTACTCTTAATTCTTTCAATAATAACTCTACCATACAATTTGCCAGGTATACTCAACAGACTTATCCCCCTATAATTTTTGCACTCTTTTATCCCCTTTGCCTTTATACAAAGGAACTATGCATGCTCTCTGCCAATCCCTAGATCATTGATATATATTATAAACAACAACGGGCCCAAGACTGATCCCTGTGGAACGCCACTTGTTACAGATCCCCACTCGGATTTAACCCCATTTATGGACACACACTGCTTCCTGTCTGTGAGCCATGACTCGATCCACGAGAGCACTTTTCCCCCAATGCCATGAGCTGCCACTTTCTTTAACAGTCTTTGGTGCGGAACTCGATCAAAAGCCTTACTAAAATCTAAGTAAATAATATCAAATTCTTTATCATGATCAACAGCCTCAAAAGCTTTACTGAAGAAAGTTAATAAATTAGTTAGACAAGACCGGCCTCTTGTAAATCCATGCTGAGTATCATTAATCAACCTATGCTTATCGAGATGGCTTCTTACAATCTCAGCTATAATTGACTAGTAATTTGCCTACAATTGAGGTCAGGCTTTTTGGGCGGTAATTTGACGGTAACGACTTATCCCCTGATTTAAAAATAGAAATTACATTAGTCATCTTCCACATATCAGACACTACACCTGTTTGAAGAGATAGATTAAAAATATTAGTTAATGGTTCACAGAGTTCCATTTTATATTCCTTAAGAATCCTTGAAAAAAGCTCATCAGGACCCAGCGACTTATTTTGCTTCAGTCTGTCTATCTGCTTCACAACCATTTCACTAGTGACTGTGATGTTACATAATTTATCTTCTTCTAGCCCACTATAAAAATTAATTACTGGAATATTATTAGTGTCTTCCTGTGTAAAAAGCGATAGAAAATAATTATTTAAAATCGAGCACATTTTCTTTGTCAGTAAGATGCCCATAGTTATTTTTAAAGGGACCTATCTTATCTCTAACTTTTGTTCTATAGACCTGGAAAAAACTTTTTGGGTTAGTTTTAGAATCCCTAGCAACTTTAATTTCATAGTCCCTTTTAGCTTTTCTCATCCCATTTTTAACGTCCCTCTTAATGATTCATAAGATGACCCTCACCTCTTTTGATACGCCTATAAATTCCCTTCTTATGCCCTA